AAAATTGAGCCCAATCTGGGTGAACGTGAACTTATACTCGGCAATAAATAAAGAATACTATTAAATAATAAACCAACGGTGAATAAAACCGTAAATACTATGATTATCAGTAATTAATACTCCATTTTCAACATGAAACACATAAATTACAAAATCTCGGGGTACTTAGCTGTACTCGACAGCCAGTCAAGTCTCCAGTCGGTCTCTACGGTCCTTTATACCAAGGTCTTCGGAATGGGGTGGTCGATAGGCAGAAGCACGAAAATTCAGATCCGGTACAAAAATCCAGTCCGTACCAACAAGGACGGTCCCATATAAAATGAGGTCTGCTACGAAATGGGGGTCCCGTACAAAATGCCCTGAAAGTACACCAATACTTAGATTTCGTGTATGGCTAGCTTTACGACGAAAAACAATGAAAATTACTTACGTGGTCGGAGGTACGGCAGAAAGTGGCTTAGTACAACAGTCCCACGCCCGGGTGACGTCGTATGAACATGATCCAACCAAAAGGCCGCTATATTTTCAATATCAACTCGCAACCAAACCAAACTCCAACGTATTAAAAATAACTATCCACTGGACAGTCACCGGCAAAGCAGTTTTAATCCTTAGAAATCTCCAAGAGGCACTATATTCTGCTTTCCAGGCAAACCCAACGGCGTGGTCACTGAAGCACAAGAAAAAATGCCGAACGCCCTTTGCGGACCGAAATTCCAGAACAATTCCTGCCAACCCTACCCATTTCTAATAACATAGCCCCAAATTTCCCAAAATCGACACAAGCGTCTCAAAACTAATAAAATCAGAATTTTTTTTTGCAATCCAAAATCATCAAAATACGAGAGTAGCCCATGGTCGCAATAGTTGTAGTGCGTTTTATCGCCGCATGAGGTTAAACCGCGCGAACTTCGCCAAGCGATATAGGCAACCCGCGTTTCGGACGCAGGGCTGGCTGGTTGCTGACCTCGCGCTCCAAAATCTACTTTATTCGCTCGTGAAAAATTAAACCGTAACAAGGCAGTGGACCGAGCTAGACTAGTGGCCTCAGGCTTCCGTAGTGACAAATCGGGATTTTGTTTTAGAAATTGCCGTATCCATTCTTCCTGCCAATTTGTCTGTATTCCAGGAGTCTGGATACAGTTTATCATTGGCTGTTGCATATTGACATGCTAAAACTTTAACTTCTTTCTTTGTCACCCATAATGCAGACGTGCAGCTGTAAGTAAGTACTTTTTTAATGCTGCTTCTTCTTCCTTTGAAAACACTTGTTTTGTGTTATTATTTGCTATATATTTAAATTCAGCAGCTTCTGATTTCTTAAATAGATTTGTGTGCCTAATTAGGGTTGTTCTAGGTACATTATAGCGTCTTGCCCCTTCCCGCATAGAAATGTCCTGGTCAATACAAAGCTTTATAGCTGCTGTTAAATTTTCTGAATTTATCGGAGGCCGTTTTTGACCAGATTTACTTTGGGGCATTTTTAAACATCTAAAATAAACGATAACAATTATATTAGGTCCCATTAACATATTTGTGTATGTATGCATGGAACCTCGGACCGGTACAAGGTACACGATTTGCAGCTGGCCCAAGGTACAAGCTTTGTTATTTATAACCATGTGTTCTAATATCATGGTTATGTTATAATATTTTATGAAAATTGTCATATATTACGAAAAAGGAAGGCTAACCCTACTGTGGGCATGAAAAATAATAAACTTACCGATTAAAATGAGCCCAATGGACACAGATAAATAATTAATTAATAATTACTTTAGTGGTCACCAAAACAAAACAACGCCACAACTTCGTATGTGTTGCTGTCAATTAAATATATTTTCCCTGCCATCTATCTGTAGAAGGCAGGTAATATATCGGTATGATCGGCAACTGTAAATTCGAACAAGTTGGTAAGCATTAAGTGACCCAAGGTACAGACCTGTCCGAGGTACAATACTCTCCCCTACTATTTTTTCATTTTTTGTGTAGGTAAATTTTGTCTGCAATAATCGAACATATATAAAATCATGATTTTTTTTAATAAAAATTGGTTGATTAGTCAGTTTCTACTTTGGACGTAAAATTGGGACATCATGTTAACAATTTCCAAATTATTAATCTTAGTGTTACACCAAGTGCCTGAAAGACTGCTAACAGATCACAAAACATTTACAATCATTTTATGAAAATATATATATACAGGATGTGGCGTCTTTAGTACAGAAAAAATAAAATGCAGATTCCTAGGAATATATGCAATAAAAAAGCCTTATATAAGAAATTCATATACCCACGTTTTGTCAAGAAAATTGAACTTCAATTTTGTAGCGAAGAAATAAATCTTAGTACGGTCCTGGTCAAAAAATGTCATGCCATTCGATTAACATCAGCGTACGCTTGCCGAACCGAACTTAACAGAGAGTCAAGCCTTTGCGCAAATCAGTGTTGCCAAATTAAAATGTATGAAATACACACAAAAGAGATAAAATGTTTTAATGCAATAATAAATAATTTTGGCCAGTTTAATACAATCCTCTCGTTTTAATTAAAAGGAAAAATAAACATAAAATTCAATGAGTTATTTCACTGTAAATGATAATGTGCAATCCCAGACAAGAGGTTTGTAGAAACAAAGTACATGGTGTTACAGAAAAGACTACTATTATTTTAGCAAGTGATAGGTTGGATCACGACAAACAAAAAAGATGCAAACTTACCGCTATCGTTCGATAGTAGTAAACGTATTATTGTTGTCCTCGTTATCAATTGCCGATTTAGTTAAAACAATAACTTAAAAAATAAAAAATAAGAAACGTCTTTAATAAACACTTAACGTCTAAACAGTAGAAGCGCGATCTTTTTGATACAACTTAGCAGCAATTCACCCGCTTACTGACACTGACACTGACTGACACTCCACAGGTGCCGTACGGAGTGCGGACTAGGTCAATGTTTTTTGCTCTATGTTAAATAGGACCGGCATTAATATTTTGTCACTTCTTGTAATTTTTTGGAAAATATTTTTGATACTCAAATCTCATAATCGCCTTATGGTAACATATATTATTTTACTTCATTTATTGTCAAGAGTAGGTTTTTAATTTTCTGCATTAAAGACGCCACACCCTGTATATATATATTTTATACAGTAAAGTAAAATGTACGGTTAATATGATTGATTAACGTTGGTTTTTGTTGTTAGATGTATAAAGTCTGATTTATAGAAGACGCAGCATTAGAGGTAGCGGTACGAGTTTGTCGTAAAGGTTCAAACTGTGAAAATGCATGAAAGCATTTATGGATCATTTGTCATTGCAGTGAATGACAATTAATGCATTAATTGCAATTTGTGAATAATGTGCAGTTTGATACTTTGGATTTTTTAACAGAAATTTTACAATGAGACAAAATACTGATAATGGTTTGCTCGGCGTAGAAACTATATTTAAGTATTTAAAAATGACTACCCCAAAAATAACGCGCACGAGCAGTGTGTGAAATATAGGTAGTTTATATTTCTATAAATTGGCATGTTTTCAGGAACCGCAATCAATCTATAAATCAGACTTTAAGTAAAATGACACTTACGACAGTATTAGTGTTTATATGTCTATCATATTTTAAAATAAGGTAAAATTTGATTTTAAGCGAATGAGTTTGGTCGTAGATAAGGTAAAGTACATAACTCGAGTCGTAAAATATATTACGTACGTAGGTACTCATGTAATTGCAAATTCGTACGTAATATATTTTACGTCTCCACTAGCTCATTGATGTGACAGTAACACTTATTTACTTCAGGAAAGAGACTTTCCACTTTCAGTTTTTTGTTTTGGAAACCGGTGTCTTCTTCTAACAGTCGTTTACTACCAACATCATCAGTCACTGGTATGATGTCATAATCAGCAAGAGCAGCAACAAGCTCTTCATCAGGTTGATAGCTGTAATCACTTGCTGTTTCACTTGTAGAAGCCGTTTCGCTTAACATTTAAGTCTAGGCTGTAAATAAGGTGAATTGAAAATGCTATAATACATTTTGCTTTTTGTCCTTACTTGACTTTCCTTGGCTAAATGAACTTTATAATACTGACAGAACTTGAGCTTAGGTCCACTTTTATTAAAAATTTTCCGGATAGTTTCGTCGTCCAACAGCAAGAAACTTTCGTCATCAATTCCCTCTTCTAAATAGTAATGGACATAATTACTTGCTTATTTACTTTCAAGATGTTATGCCAATTTTAATATATTTTTTTTTTAAATTGGAAAATGTTTTCCAACCTGACAGGTACGAAACATTTGGAGCCATTTCTGTGACATCAAGCTCCAATAATAACCATAACCTCAACACAAATAACTAAACAACCAAATTGTTCATTGTTTACAGACCAAAATATCGTCACTAAAACTTATTTGCCATTCGCTTGCCCCAATACACCCTACCATAACTAAATACAATATCAAACAAGTAGAACGAAATACTTTTTTTCACTTACCTTCGAGTCCTTCCACAAAATTTTGTAACCATTCCCCTCGATTAACAACACTTTGTCTTTTTCTTTATCATTAATATACGACTAGTTGCCACAAATAAAAATAATTAAATATTTACTATTAGTTGTTCCAAATAGAAACATTTTAACAGTAACTAGTTTCCATAGTTAAGTAAAGATATGAACAAAGTTATTTGATTGTGGCTAAATAGGTACATTCAGATTTATCGCTACTTAAGGCCGATCGCAAATACAGCTACGCGTGGTCGCTACTGGTGGCTGCTACACGCTGCTGACTGTATTTTGTATGTAGTTTAAATAGGTTCAGCGCAAACACAGCGTTTGCAGTGGCTTGCCCCAGCCACATGTTGTGGCAGAAGTCGTACTCGCTGCTTGTAGCCGACGACAGCCACTCGTCTGGCGCATACGCGGCTACACCACAGCGGCCACAGTCTATCGCCCCGTTTCCGTTCGACTGGTACGTATTCTGAAATTATGAGCACAGAAATGGCGGACAGTATAGACGTAGATGTGTTTATGTCCGAAATTGAAAGTCGTCCAGCTATTTGGGATATGCGGTCTGACCTATATTCCAACAGATCAGAAAAAACCAAAGCCTGGGAGGAAGTGTGCCTAAAATTCGTTTCGGACTTTGAAAAAAAGACTGCAAAGGAAAAAAATACTGCCGGTAAGTAAAGTTATTAATGTTTATTTTATTTTTGTATTCTATTTATAAAAGGATAAAATCAAATTCGGTTTTCTTGCCATGGTAGAGCTCCCTCTTCGCTTAAAAATAAATCCTTCAATTTGTCTCGAGTAGTAATTGATCGTAACATAGACATGTGGATGTTTTCAATATTTTCAAGTCCAATAATATTTAAAGTGTCGTGAAAATTAAAACCATCTCTTTTACGAACAAAATTATGCAAGATGCAACAAGCCTTTACAACGTCTTCTGCAAAACCTATAGGTACGTTTAGAAGGCGGTGTAAAATTCTCCATTTGTTTGTTAATAGTTCAAAGGCACACTCGATGCAACGCCTAGCACGAGATAGTCTGTAATTAAATATTCTTTTACCAAAATCTAAATGTTTTCCCGAATATGGTCGTAACATATGTTCTGAGAGGCCAAATGCCTCATCACCAACAAACGAATAGTTCAAAGGTTCGGAGATTCTTGAAATTGGTTTTGGTGCTGGAATATTGAGTGAGCCTGTACTCATTTTTTTTAAATAGTACACTTTCTTTATATACAGTTGAATCTGAAGCTTTTCCATATATATACCAATATCCACAAACGTAAACACATAATTTACATCACAAACGGCGAGCAGTACGATAGAAAAAAAATGTTTATAATTATAGTATAACGATCCACTATCTAGAGGCTGAATTATCCTAATGTGCTTCCCATCTAGTGCGCCTAAGTAATTGGGAAAGTTGGCATATTCGTTAAATCCGTTAGCTATATCTATCCATATTGCCTCTGTTGTGGAGTCCGGTATGCATACATCTTTTAAGTGTTCCCAAATAACTTTACATGTTTTTTTTACGATCAATCTTGCAGATGATCCGCAGCGATAAACAAATTCAAAGTCGCCAAACGTACATCCAGTAGAACGATATCTGAAAAATAAGAAAGGTACAATTAATACAGAAAAGAAATAATTAATAGCTGTAGAAAATTCGAGTACTTATTATTTTTTTTTGTTTTAGCTGCTCAATTACAACACAAATGGAAGAGTCTGCGTGATAGTTACAACAGAGAACGAAATAAACAGAAAAATATCAAGAGCGGGTCTGCAGCATCAGGCTGAATAGAATGTATATATTTTCAACAACTCAGCTTCTTGTCTATTTTGGCGGAAACCAGACCGGAATCTGAAGATGTGTCATCTCCAGTTACCACTGTTGACCGCAGGGGCAGTACAAAGAAGCGAAAAACAATGTCGGACGTAGAAAAAACGGAACTTGAGTTACTTAACAACATCACTAAAAAAATGGTTCAACTAGATGACGGTGACTGCGATAGTAGATTTTTATTGTCCTTTTTACCGGATTTTAGGAGCATTAAAGAAGAATTCAAGTTAGATCTCGAAATGGAAATGTTATCGCTTATAAAAAAAATATAAAAACATGCATATCCAACTACACTATCAAAATCAGCCACAGTATGGTTATAGTCACGCTCAGATCCCTTCACGTGTGTTTACTGATTTAACATCGAATACTGCGTCAGGAGTATCGGGACCATTACGAGAATTCAGTATTCAGAGAAACATCTATGCACCGGGTCCTCCACATTACTATAATACTCATAGAGAACTCTCTGCACCGATCTCTTCACATAATTATAACAATTCCTCAACTGTTCCACCTCCAACTCCATCACCTGCTCTTTCTACTTCAGCCCATTCACTTTCTGATAGTAATTCTATCATTGACGATATGTTCTATGACAATTAAAATATTCCTAAATAAATATGTTATCTTTATTTCTATTTGACATTATTTTTTTCTTCAAATAAACATTGTATACATGTATATATCTTTGTATCATTTCTAAGTCTGTTATAATTTACTTATTTTTATAAATCAGAAAATAGCACCCGATATTTAGGCCTATGATAAAATATTTGTGTATACTGACGCCCGACTGACGGTAAGAATATTTCCATCTTTTATTAACCGATATATTTAAAGAAAGCAATATAATGTAGTCATACATGTATACCCACACTTATAATACTATCTAGTATCCTAAATAACTATGACGCGTACGCAATATAGTTCTGAACTGGTTCTATAGGTCGTTAGAACAAATAAAAAGCAAAAACTAATGTCACAGAGTTATACATACCTCAATGTAATAGCCAGTCTTTTTGCGGGAGAAATGCTTTTTCTCATTCGTGTGTCTTGATGTATTAAGTGATGTTGAAGCAAAGATAATGATTCATGGAATGTGGCCACGCTCATTCGAAAATATTTAAAAAATTTGTCTTCGTGTGACTTTTTTAAATCTTCAAAAAGAGTGAAAAAGTGTCCATTTATCTCGCGAGTACTTAATATTGGATGTACCCAATAACGACGATATCTTTGTATTTCTCGCCGTCTACGCCATCTTCTAATTACCAACAGGGTGACAAGTGCTTCCATGTCAGAAGAAAACTGACTAGAGACGATACTGGATAGAAAATTCATGAAAAGTGGCGGTCACTGGTTAAAAAATTAGAAGCACGTGGCAGCCACCTGTAGCGCCACCTGTAGCGCATACTAGTGGTTGCTTCTAGCTACCTGTGGCGGCCACTAGTGGCCACTACACGTGGCTGTGTTTGCGATCGGCCTAAAGAAGAAAAAATAGATTTTTTATTAATGGTAAATAGCATGGTTGAGTTACTGTAACACAAATTATATTGGAATTTAGTTACAGTAACTAAAAATATCCCAACAAACATTTTTAGTTGAGAGGATTTTCTCAGTGTAAACTTAATATACATAGAATGCAAAGTATGCATCTCTTCTGGACTTCGCAGGATTTGACAGTTTAGCGTAAATATCATCCCTGGTGCATATTTATACGTCATCTACTTGAGGAAAATAAAATTTGTTAGTCTTACCTCTGCGCCTGAGATATTTAACCCGATAGGAATTTTCAGAAACAATATTTTGTACACACCCCATGTAATGCAGAACACTACCTTGGGAAACAAATTATACTAAGATAAAACTACTTATTTCTATGTTATCATTTTCTTGTAAAAACTTAGGTTGTCATCGGAATCGCTGCTGCATTCAAAATCTGAATTGGATGACTAATTTCTTGAGCTATCAAGTAATACTTCCCTTTCCACTTGATTAATTTTTTTTCATTTTTACGAAATCGCTGGTGCTTGGGGATTCTATGTTCTTAGAAAATCATTTCAATTTTCTTTTTTGTCTATCAGACTTTTGCTTCTGTTTTTCCATTTTCATTTCTTCAATTCTGTATAAATTTCCGATTTTTCCTGATTTGCTTTTGGTCGTCTTCCTACAGTTTTTGTTTCTTTCTTAACTTTAGGAAGGGGCCTTACATAGTCCAATCAATACCGCTTACAAAAAATACCACCTGGAAACAAAAAATATGGTGATATAGGAAAAAAATTCTAAGAAAGATAGTGTATTTTTCCTGTGACGCATAAACGGCGAAGTTTATCTGAAAAATTCATAAAAGTGAAAAAACGGGTTTTCGCTAATAAAAAAAACTAACTCCAATCGAAAAAAGTTATATGAGAAAGTTGTAGTTATTAAAAAAACCTATTGATTCATATTTTTAAATATATCGACTGCTACATTACTTTTCGAGATATATCGAAAAAACCGTCAAAAATCGACTTATTTGTGTTTGCTGTATATCTTGCAAATTAAAGTTTTGAAACTTGTTACTTGCTGTAAATGTAGCCCTCGGCAAGCAAAAAAGTGCCTTTTTTAAAACTAAAAAATATTAAAAATTTTTCGAGTTATATCGATTTTTCGAAAAAAGGGTCATCTCGAAAATCAGTTCTTCTTGTTCGACGGATAGTCGTAGAGAAACAAATCTGGGCCCATTTTTTTCCTTAGGAGTTATACTTTTATGGTAAAAAAGAGTGATAACGATTTCATTCATTTCAAGTGTTCAAAGATGACTGAAAAAAGTAAAAATTTTTTGATCACGTTTTTCTTGAATATCTTTTTCGATTTTCATTTCTCGATCATGTCTATTACAGGAATCGATTGCTGGTATTTTTACGCGAATTTTAAAAAAATAAACGTTGCTCTACAACCTTCTGGAGTCGAGATAATTTTTTTTTTTCAAAATATTTCACAGGCCGCTATTTAAATGTTACAGCGTCCATTTTTACAGTAATTGAAGTTGAAGACATATATTTTCAATAAAAAAAAAATACTGTGGTCATTTTAGCCTAAAAGTGGCTGTTCTTTCAAACTCAGTAATATGGCTTGACGTAAAAGTTTTCAAAAACGACGGTACACTATAGATCTAATATTATGCAAATACAATTACTATTTTGTATCTAATAATAACTTCACTACAGCAATATTTTAGGGAGCGAAAATATCGTCACTTTTCGATGCACAAATGTAATTTGAAGTGACGTATTTGTCTTTGGGCGGCAACTATCAATCAATACGCTGAATGTTAATTAGATGGAATACACTATACTGTTATGTGAACCAAATTAAATTAAACATTTTCCGCTTGTGAGGCAAAGTATCCCCTTAAGGCGCAAAGTAACCCCACTTTACGGTATGAAGTTATTAATTAAATTAGTTTTATTTTTGACAACTTTAAAGGCCTGTAACTCAAAACCTAAAAAGTTTTATTTAACTTTTTTTTCGTAGATCGTAATCAAAGCTATTTGATTCTAATATTAATATACTATGACACCTACTTAATGCATCTACGTGAGACATTCTTTTGTTAGAACGATGTTCTACTTCATAATCATAATTTTGCAAAAACATTGCCCACCTAGATATTCTGGGATTGACATTCTGTTTACTTAGAGTAAGAATGAACTATCACAATCTGTTAGTATTTTAAACTTAATGCCGAATAAATAAATGTGAAACCTCTTAATTGCATAGATAATAGAAAGACATTTTAATTCAAAACTATGGTATTTTGATTCTGCAGGAGTTGTTCGGTGACTAAAATATGATGCAGGTTGAAATTTTCCATTAATTTGTTTCTGCATGAGTATTGCGACAAATCCACTACTGCTTGCATCACAGTGCAATTCAGTTTCTAGATTCGGAGAGTAAATAGCTAAAATTGGGTAAGACGCTAAGTAAGGCTTTAATTTTTCAAAAGTCTTAAATTTTTCTTGTTTAAATTTAAATTTAACATATCTTTTAATAAGTTCATAAAGTGGCTTAGCAATAATTGAAAAATTTGGTATAAACCTTCTTTCTCCGTCCTTGGCCGCTCGATTCTCGTTCTCGTATATGCTCGTCTACTCCAACTTGTCCTAGCTCCTACTCATGTAGGTACTTCAACTTATTCTAGTTACTGTCAGTCCACTTCGGTCCTTACTTGACACCTGTCATTTCCGTTCCTGATATTTAGTCTTCTATATTATTCCTATTATGTCTTGTCGTTCTACTGGTTTTATGATTCTATTGACTACGCTCTATTTCTTCACTATAACAGTACAATTATATTTTATTATTTGACTTACTGTATTATGAATTTTATTTATAAATTTCAATGAATTTTCGTTACTGTTAACACTTTTCCTTTGCTTCCTTTGTATAACTTTTCCCTCTGTATGAAATACTTTCTTTCTTGTTACTTCTATTATAAATCGTCTCGTTTTTCAATTTCAAATGATCTTCCAATATCCTTTATTTGACAAAATAATTCATTTTCCTTTTTTATTTATTTTTCTCCCTAGTTACCATTTTTCTTTTTCATATACCACTACTTAAATTTTAAACATATTTCTTAATTATAGTCATACAAATTATTTATATCAATCACATTATTGCTTTGGAATATATATATTTTTTAATATCAACTTTACATGAATTTTTTTTTATAAATTTTCTTTCTCTAATGACTTTTAATAGATCTTATATTAACTTCTAATAATTTTATTCTTCCCATCTTAATTTTAATGATTTCCCGTATTCGCATTGGTCAAACTATTATCCAAATCCATTATTAATTTTATATTAATTTTCATCAATTTCGATTTCCTAACTCTATTCTTTTTAATATTTTAAAATCTTTACTTCAATCATTCCATTACAATACGTTTATTTAAATTTTTACATTGGATATTTATTAATACTTCCATAATTGTGTATATTACATACAATGAGAACACGAAGGTTGGAATATATTCGATACCTACATAAAAAACTTTTTGAATAGGTCGATTTTTTTTATTTTTAAGATCACCATATTAATTATTAACTATATACAGGGTGACCCAAAAATGCTAGTATAAATTTAATTTTTTAAATAGCAAGAGGAGTTATTATTTGAGAGG